CACAAATTACCCCCACTTCCGAAAAAATGTTAACAAATAGTACTACTATAGATAATAATATAAATCATATTTCAGAGTTCCTCCAAGATCAAAATTTAACATTATTTGTAAAAATGATTGATCGGTGGAATGGAGTTGCTTACGGTAATACACCAACGGACAAGATTGTCTGTATTTTCTTTGGTTATACAATTATCATCCTTCTGTGTGTATGGTACTTATCGAGGACAAGAAATCCGTATGGGCGTACTGTTGGACGCGCTGCTCAAAAAGTGTTGCGACAACAAGGCATTGTATTGAAGGTTGGATTATATAAGTTACTTCCTCTTATATTAACTCTAATTGTTTACTCAAAGATTATTCATAAACCTTTCCCTTTATAGGTTGCATTTTTTGTTGCTATCGAGTTGTTAATTTTTCCCATCATATGTGGAATCTTGTTGGATCTCTCTACTTTACCGCTTTTCCCCGACGCCACTCCGACATCTCGCTTAGAGTTTTACTTTGAATCTCCTGTCACTTCAACGTTTCTTCATTGGTTTACTGGCACCGCATTCATGTTTCATTTTGCGGTGTTTGTTTCACTTTGTCGTGAAATAGTTCGTACTGGTGTAATGTGGTTCATCCGTGATCCAAATGATCCACAATTCCATCCTATTAAAGAAATTCTAGAAAGACCTGTCTGGACTCAGTTGAAAAAAATTGGTGCAAGTGGTATTATGTACAGCGCAATGATTGTATGTGGATTAGGAAGTGTTATATATTTCATCAGATATGCCTTTAATGGTATCTTACCTTTACAATGGTCGTTCACGTATGCATTTTAGTTTAATTTTTTTAAGCTTTTTTTTTCATTTAATATTAACATTTATTTTAATTTTATGATATTTCAGTGAACCTATATCAGATTTTCCAGCTGATCTTTTAGTATTCCATATTATTATTCCTGTCACTGTCACATTGGCGAAGCCTAAACGTTTGTTCCGCACATTATTTGAAAATTGGTGGCATATTACTTCACATCACCTTCGATTGACATCCTTCATGTTTGGGGGACGCCATTATGAAGAAGAAGGTACACATGTTCGAAAAACGTGGCGTGCCTTTTTCCTTTTTCTTAAGGCACCAATTATTGATAATAATGCTATTGAAAGTGACGATGTTGTTTTCGTGAGAGATGGTGGTTTCGTTCGTGCACCAAGTTATGATGCTGTACCTGTAGAACCTGGAAAACGAATGTTAATACCTGTTAATGAGGACGGTACTTTGATCGATCCTAATGACGCACCTGTTGGAGACGATGATCAACCGGGCTATACCATTGTCTACATTCCTCCGAATTTCAGAGCTAGGATTATCTTGTTTTTGTTTCTTATGTGGTTTTGTGGTTCTTTGTT